TTAGAATAAGCATTTCAATTATTTGTCCCCAACCGGTGAAACCGGTAGGAACTATAGGTTTCCTCTCTATCTGCCCCTCTACCTGTCAGTCAGACTGTCAATCTTGGTTTTCCGGACCTACCTTCTACATGCTCAGATACTGGTATGGGAGTTTCTTTTGTTAAGTTACAAATCAATATAACCTTGCAATTTATTCCGCTTTGATCATTTTGAAGGTCTTTTGTAGCTATAACTTTTAGGGAACCAGACTACACATGTCGGTAGAGGACCACTAATATACTTACGCAATACTCTCAGAATGTTTATCTTTTTTTGTCATCTGAAGATCTGAATACAATAATATATTCCTATTATTTTTATCGCTGATTTTCATATCGATGAATCAATTTGATTGACAATTGCAATTTTTGTTTTTTTTTTAAATACAGTCTGAATTATTTTGCGCTTTTCTTGGACGCTTGCTTGTGAATTTTTTTTTTTAAATGTTATACTTTTGTTTGCAGCCGACTTGATGCTTTGCATCAGTTTTACTTATGTTTTAAGCAAAAAACTATTTTGAATTTGAAACCATGAAAAAGTTTTGTTACATATATTACTTACTATATTTACTAATGTATGCTTCATAACTATATAAATGAAGTTTCTTTTTTTTAATTGTACAAACATTGAAGGTGACATTTATGTCATCAATATCCGTTACCTTGATAGCAATGATTATTTTTTTCGATATAGTAAGGTTTTTGACATAACACCGCCATGGACCAGGAGTCCATGAATTTTATCTTTCTTTTAAGAAGGGCTAAGCGTTTATTATATTTATGCAAACAACTTGTCTGCTTTACGTCCATGAATAAAGAAAATTCCCAAAATTGTAACATATTTTAAATTAAGTAAATAGCTCATAATTCATATAAGGCCTGAACGCTGGACCCAGGAACTATCTTTATTATAACAATGGAAACATTTTGTCTGTTAAATGTCCATGAGTAAAGAAGATTTTCAAACATATACTGTATTTTAAAAATTTGTCCAATTAAGCTTCAATCTAAACCATGTACCCAGGGGCCATGGATTTCACAATTTTGGTAAATTCGTGCAAACAGCCAAACAAGTAGATATCCATGAGCATTAAGAAAGTTTTCTAAGACATATAAATATGACCCAACAATCCCAATCCCGAATCCAGAGATCAGGGAACATATATTTCACAATAATGGTAAAGGGTTCGATCACTACTATTATATGCGCCATTTGTGAATTAAAATAATTGTTCTTAAGCTATTAAAAATCTGTCTGACTAGTACAGTGAAATAATTCTGAGATCTTGTGAAATGGGTCATTACAAGTGCATCCACCTAGATCTAAATCTGCACATGAACTGCACTGCAAATGAAAAAGGAATATATGTAAAGGTTACGTGAGACTTATGATTCTAATTTACTTTTTAATTTACTTTTTCAAAGATCTAATCTAATCAATTAACAGTGTTCAAATACACCTGTACATTTATATATATATATATATATAACGTTGACATTTTACACGGGTCTTCGCCCTTTGGGGGCACAGATAAGGGTTTCGACACTTCTTTGCATGATCGTAAAAGGCAAAAACTGTGGTCTTGTGTCAAAGCAGGTGTGTCATACACAAATCCCTCGTTTGCAGATCAAAGGCACAGATCTGAATTTTGCAGCCCTTCTGCAATGTCTCGATATGAGTGAAAAATTCTCGCATGGACATTAATTTAATCCTGGGGCCTGAACCATAGTGGGGGTGAGGTGAGGTTGGGCATAATTTTCACAATTTTTGTAGAGGGCTAAGTGTTTATTATAACCTTTGAAATCGTTTGCCTGTTAAAAGTTCATGAGTAAAGAGGACATTTAAAGATTTATTATCAAATTTTGATCAATTAAGCCCCAGTCTAAACCATGGACCCAGGGGTCTTGGATTTCACAATTTCGGTAAAATCATGCAAACATTTTGATACCCATGATTAAAGAGAAAATTTTTAAAAATACAATTTCAATATTTGACCAGCTTTGTCCCTCTCTGGAGCCTGAACCCTGAAAACAGAGCTCAGGTAACATTAATTTCACCATTATGGTAAAGGGTTCACTGCTTTTATATCATGCCAACAGTTCGCAAGCCTAATGCTCTCGTTTTATCCACTCATCAGGCTCAAGGTATGCAGAGAACACAAGTTCATAATTTTTGTTCCCCTTTTACCATGATGATTGCCAGAAATCTGGGCGCATTTGAAAAGTGAAAATTTCATTGATCTAAAATTTCCCAAGTATGTAATCCTGAGATTACCCATAGTCGTGAAGACCTTTGAGTAGTCAATCGTCAACCGAACACAGAACTGAAACATTGACTTCTATTTCCTTTTGCCTATTTTGATTATATTTGACCTTTAGTTATTTTAGTCTTATAGTGTTCCCAGAAATATATGTATAAGTGTTTGAATTTTGCTTCATCTTCATACAAAAATAAGTCTGCTAATAACGGGGCGCAATTGGTACCCATGGGAATTCAGACAGATTGTTGGAAGACCTGATCTCCAAAAACTACATAAATATTGTCAATAAGAAATTCAAGCATCTTTTTTAATATCTTCTTCAGAGTACTTGGGTGTACAATCAGAATATTATTGAACAAAATCATTTTGCAAATGACCGATGACAAAGTAAGTAAATTTAAGAGTTCCATTTTTATAGAAAAAGCAGCTGTCTATGATGTTAAAAAGGTTGGAGTCCGTTTTACAAAATAAAAAAAAACTACGAATAAGACCAAAATGTAATTTTGAGAAAAAATTTGATAATGGTTTTAATCTTTTTTAAATTAATGTAGATAGACATTTTGATGTTCGTAATTTACAACAGGATCATTGATTTGCAAGATTTGTTTTTATCAATTATAGATTTTGGTCTTAGTCGTGTTATATTTTGTAAAACAGGCCCCTGGACTTAATTTTTTTTTCGTGGGGAATAGTTGTATAGAGTGTTGAAAATTCGTACGTTTTGATGTTATTGATTTTGGTAAAATTTTGTGATTTTAAATTTTCTAAAAGTTCCTTGGAGTGTTTAAGTATTCACATCTGATTTACACCACTTCTTGAATATATTGTTTTATAGTACTCCTGAAGTTTCTCCTTCACTGCTGTTAATATTTTAGTGAGGGGTAAAGAAAGAGTCTTGGTAGAACTATTGCTGGAACCCGCTTTGTACCTTTGTTTCTAAGGATATTTATGAAGTTTATGAATCCAGTATATATATGGTAATTCAGATTCATTTTGATTGTTGGGAATATTATAAATATTTAAAACTGACATATGGTTTTGAAGAATTTCCTCCTTAGAAAGGAAGCTATGGGTATAGGTAGGATTACCACTTGCAGAATTAAATCAAAGTATCTCCCAAATACAATTGAAATAATGATTTAAGGTCCCAGTGTTGGGACGTTAAAAAAATTAGAATTAGAAATTTAGAGCAGAGGATCATTACTCCTTAATATCAAAATTGGCTGAAATCAGTTTAGCCGTTCCTAAGAGGCTGAAAATGTTCAAAAGTTAATAGCAACAGATAGTAATTGATCAATGCGTGAATCAGGTGATCCAAAAATGCTAACACGGTGAGATTATTTTTTGTATTTGCTTATATACAAATTGTGTTAAGATCATGCAAAGAAGTATTCAGATTCGAAAGAAAAGCTATGAAGGTGAATAAAACACACTCCCTACAATCAAATAAACAAGAGTCTTTAAATATGTTCCATAACATTATGTACCTAGAAATGCTAATCCTTTGTAAATTATTTTAAGATATTAAAAGGAAAGTACATTTAAATCTTTTTTTAATTATGTACTTTATTTTCAAGATAAAGGGCTTTTACATGCGGAAACATCCTATTTTAACAAAGCACCGTGTTTTAACCCTACGTGTACATATGATTTTAAGCTCCAAACAGCTCAGTAAATTACGTTATGCTATGTACAATTCTATTTCCTTGGGAAAATAGTTAGGGAGACTTGACACTGTATGAAGTATATTAGTCATATGAATTGAGATATTGACATAGATGTGAGTGGAGGAAAGGAACAAAATTGAGGTTATTTGCAAGGAATGCAAAATTGATTGTGTAAAGACAAAACAAAAACAATAAAAAATGTATTAATAACGAACAGTGATCGATCTCAAAAAATCTATAAAAAAATATAATGAAGAGGGCATAAAACACGGACCCTGGAAATTCCAGAGGTAGGATCAGGTGCCTAGGAGGAGTAAGCATCCCCTGTTGACCAGATAGACGGAACATTCTGTAGTCAAATTCATTATAAAAACAAAAGCTTAACAATTGGTATGAAACAAGTCAGCCAAAATACGACCCAATAATAGATTATATTTGCTAACAAGGTCATTATAACGACCATAAAATTTACGAAATGCTGACTTGAAATCCCTGTAACATCAACTTATCTGTCAGTAACCTGTCTCGGTTTAAAAATAGATTGTACTCAGAGCATGCTCTTGAGAATCGAATAGGTTGGGGGATGTAATCACAATATGCAGGTGATAGCGGGATATTACTACATAAATAAGGAAAGTTGGCTAAGGAAAAGTTGAAGTCATCTCGTTTGTTATACAATTTAGTTGTTAGTTGGTCCTTATCGTCTATAGTCATAAATCCAAATATGAAACAGACGTGGCAGACTTTGTGGTGTCTTTTTATTTCAAGTTCACTGGGATCTATCGAACCGACTTATGAATGAAAGTAACTATTGTTAATTGATAACACATCGTCGATATATCTAAATGTCGAAATGCTACTGCAAGTGTTTTTTTCCTCTCATGTAGTTTTTTTTTAAATTCTGCTTCATACGAATATAAAAACAGGCCGGCTAATAAATGAGAACAATTAGTGCCTATCTTATTTCCAACAGTTTGTTGGAAGACCTGGTCAAGGGAAAAAAATTAAAAATACACTCTTTATTATGTTTTTTTTTTTTTATTAATTTAGACCCAATCCTGTTGTACATCAGGAAATTGGCACCTTATTTTCCTCCTACTGTAGCTGATTTTGTATTTTTCTATATTCAAGCAAGACGTGATTAAGATCTTGTGGTTTCTTCATAGAATGAATGGAATCAAGGCTTTTCTTTCTGGAGGATAGTCTTCAAATTTCTGTTTGTACCACCTATTCAAATAGTGAATACATTATATTATACAATAAACGCATTCAATAAGCATTTAAAATCAAAGTAACCAGAAGTACAGAGAAATGAGCTCAGTTACAGAGTAGTGAAAAAAGACTGTTTTGCATGAAACATACATTATAAGAACAGATAAGCAACAATAAGTTAGAATAACATAAAGCATAAAAAATGTATTAAAAAATTTAATTAAATATAGATTACTTAGAATTTAACAGCATAAACAATTGATTACATGTATCGTTCCTGGGTCTTATATCACTTACAGAAGATGAAGCAAGGTCAAAAGTTTGTGCACAGATGAGGCCTAAGGGGGAGTTTTGCAGCAAGGTGTACATCAGGTCAAATTCTCTCCGCATTAGTGTTAGCCTGGTAACACATGTATTAATTTTATAGAATGTGGCGCAGTCCCGGGGGGGGGGGGGGAAGGCTGATGAAAATCTTTCATATATTTTAAACAAATAAATAATCGAAGAACTTGGAGAAATTACATAAGATTATCATTATTGTTTATTTTTTTTAGAAAATTCCTCAGTTTACTTTGTTTAATTTAGTGTTTGTATTGTCTCAAAAGCGACTGAGCATACGCACCATATTTCTACTCGTAAATTGGAAGCAGCATATCCAGTTGAACTCCATGACAAAAGCCGGCTATTGCTCTACGAGCAATGAACCCGGCTAAAACCCTTTGCCATTTTTAGCCGGGCTCATTACTCGTAGAGTTTTTGTCAACCGGATATGCTGCTTCCTCACCGCTAAATCAAATTCTAGTCTTAATCATCAAGATGCTTCGACTCTATCGTTTGTGTCATAAACACAAGCGTCTGGATGATCGAGACTAATTAAATTTACGAGTAAAAATATAGTACGTATGCACAGCCGCTTTTGAGAAAATACATCCACTTAATTAAAAAAAACCGAGGAATTTCCCAAATAAACATTAATGATAATATGCTTTCTCCCATGTTCTTAGATTAATTATTTGTTTAAAATATGCGAAAGGTTTTTATCAGCCCCCACCCCCGTCTTGTCACATTCTATAAATGGAAGTTGTATTACATGTGTACCCAGGCTAATAATAATGCGGGGAGCATGTGACCTGATATACACCTTGCGGCAAAAACTCCCCGCTGAGGACTCATCTTTGCACAAACGTTTGACCTTACTGCATCAATCTGTAAGTTAAAATACTTAGCCATTCATGAAGCTTTATCTTCGTTGAGAAGATTTTGATTTTTTTTCTTTTTGGTATGCCTATGTGACTAACACAGGCATTTGCTGCCCACTACAGTGTTGTAAAGACCCAAAGTAGCCCCGCCTCCCGAAGGATGGCTATATAGCGACTCTTCCTTCCAAGAGGAATACATGTAACGTAAGAGCCATATTCTCCTCCCCAACCTTTATAGATAGTTTTCGATAGACACGATTTTAGCAAGAGTTATTTCCCGTTCGTCGCCATATTGGAGGTATACAAGCCCGAATTCCTTCATTATTCAACCAATTTAATCTTCTCGTACTGGGCAATTGGGTGAAGATAACACAATTTTTCTTACGAATTTATGTTAATGCAAGCTTCCTTTAATTCGTTATTTTAGTATTTTAAAGATTTTTGGCCTTATATTTCTGCCATACAAGTTCAGAGATAAATATACACGCTATATAAACGCTGATTTTTTTATGTGAAACAAAATGATTAAATGATTTGAGAAATATGATGTGTAATGAAAAAATAATACTTTCCACAAATGTTCACTAAATAAGTCATTGTAATTACAAAACAATTAAGCAAAATCTGCAAATTAAGAATTCAGTCTTTTCATGAATACTGACGAAGGAAGTGCGTACCCAGTATAGACACGTATGTCCGCGACACAGGCACATGTTTCGGTAAAAGTCGAATTCAACCATGAAATGGTATGTGCTAATCCCGCACAGAGAACAAAATTAAAAAATGAGTGGGTTTAAAAATTCAATTCCAGTGTTTAAATATTGCATGAGTAAATAGAACTTGTTTACGTCTGATTTTTCCCTGAAAACATTACGATGTTTATCCGATGTAATTTTAGAAACAGATTTTTGGCCAATCAAAATCTCTGTGCGGGATTAGCACATACCATTTCATGGTTGAATTCAACTTTTCCACTCGACGAGCAGAGTTTTGACGCTGTTTACGGAGACTAAAGAAAATAAAGACAAGCATGTCATATATGGTTGTGTAGATAAATTATTGTAGAAAACATAGGTATAAACAGTTTGTCAGTGTATTTCCTCTGAAAGTGTAAATGAGTGCGATTCTGGGGGAGGGGGGTACTCCGTGTAATTCGGAGTTAGATACCTTGTGTTATTATTATACTATGGGTTAAAAATTTATTACCGAAACAAGTGCCTGTGGTCCGCGAGAAATCATACACGACGAAGTTCATTGCAATTTGACTACGACTATGAATAAGGTTATTGATTGATTGATTGATTGTATATTGTTTAACGTCCCATTCGAGAATTTTCACTCATATAGAGACGTCACCGTATGGGCCATTTGCGCAGTGAGGGTTCTTTACCTCTACCGTGACACGAGGCCTACGTTTTTAAGGTCATATCCTAAGGACCCGTGACTTTCACTTCTAATCCCGGGCGCTTGGCGAAGGAACAGTCACTACCTATGTTTACGTCTCAGGTTTGACGCGGCGCGGCGAACGAGAATCGAACCCGGGCCTCCCGATCACGAAGCGAACGCCCTATCACTAGACCGGTAATAAGGTTAATGTCTGTCATTACAGAGTAGATAGTTAATACTGGTTGCTTTAAAAGATAAGTACCTTTAAGTGTTTGACGTTTGCCATCCATGTCAAAAGTTATTTGTATACCAAACGGCCTACCTCGTTTTCTTGGCGCCATTTTTGTTTATTGCTAGCGCTCTCGAGCGCTAGCAACTACGTTAGTCTATATTTCTGAAATACGCATGCTCGACTTCACGGTCGGGGATTCTGGGAAAACTACTGTAGATAGACTGTACGATAAGAATTTCGTTTTTGTCAGACAAAGATAGAAATGATCCGAATTAATACTGGCCTTTCCTGTCTGATATGCGCGATATACATTTCGTAGGTTAGAGACAGTCAATACCGTCTAGATCCGGATTCTGAATTTTTTAAATGTATTGTCTAACCTACACATACATGTAAAAAGTACAAGAAAAAATTTTGCCATATAATGCCAAGATTCTAGACATCTACCTTTCCTTACAGTTTTACCACCTTAGTAGATAATTCCGGCAAGCTCGGAAAAAACAACAACAACAAAAAAAATCTTTTTCAGAGTATGTCGGAAATACATGTCAATTTAGTGTTTATCATCTGAAAATACATATGATCTGAAGTTTCGTGTTTTGTTGTCTAACCTGCACGTAAATGAACAAAAAGTAACAGTAACTCGGGTCTTATAAAACCAAGACTGTTATTTCTAAAGTTGTAATGAATACATAGCTTTTCTAATCTACCTTCATATGGATCTTTCCAGCAAGCTCGGAAAACCGCGGCAACCTCGGATATGTTTTCCGAGCTTTCTGGAAAGGCCCGAAGGTGCTAATTGGTTCTACTGACCTTTTATTTTTCACCTCGAAATTGAAATTACAGTAAAATACAGAATGCTTAAAGCACAGTTAGGAGTTATGCCATTGCCGACGTGAAGCACACTCTTAGAATCACCATTCTGAATTGTGACCCCCCCCCCCCAACTCAACCCCCAGTGCACCAATCTACCTTCCTATTAATAATTAATCGATTCAGCAAATTTAACAAATGGTTCGGATATCTTCTTCTGTATTTTATTATGCTACAGCGCTAGCTCACCAATCTTTTTAAAAGATAAGCTTGTCAATCTAAAAGTAGCGACGGTGTCACGTGATGCATTAATTTAAATAGAGGCATTACTTATTAAATAATTATAATTTAACATCTTTATAATGCGTTCATATTCGATTGTGTAATTTACAGCATTTACGTAACTTTAATTGGTAAACAAAATAAATAAATTTTCAACTTCATTTTAACTGACGCAAGTTATAGCCTATCGAAAACTATCTATATTTATTTAGCTGTTCTCCTCAACCTAGACAAGTTAATTTGTATGTTATCCTTTATTAGACTTTGTTTTGTTAAACACTTCTCTGGGAAAGCAAAGAGCCTCATAGGTCGGTGTTTATAGTTATACCCGGATTCTCTCGTGCTAAGAGGATAAGTCATTATCTCCCACAGGGTAAGACATCAGTCAATTGCTTTTAAACTCTTTCACCTATGGACTGACATAATCTAGACAAAGTGTCTTAATTGTCTATGGACACAACAAACAATATCAAGTGACCACGGCACCACGGGATTTGACCTACCAGTGGTACATGTATGAACACTGAGTCGTGTGCTCCACAGTTTATTATTTCTAAGAAGAAAAGATGACTTTCACCTAGCCAATCAACGCTTCAGGATATATCTTTTCATACTTTCCCCTTAATGATATTTAATCACAAGTATATTAAGCTGAATGGAAAAAATACAGTTTTTATTGTGAAACAAAACAAAAACAACTCACTGGTGGTGATGACAAGCACGTGGTCCTATATTGCATAAAGTGAAGAAGAAGAAGGAAAAGGCGGAAATACTGCCATTGGCCACAGCGAATCCAAACCACTCCAAAATCTCACCGAAAAAATTGGCGCCGGAAACGTATTCAAACATCCCACCTAAAAGCCATTCACATGACGTAAAAACCAATTTAATATACTGAAATTAAATGAACAAAAATTCTCTCTCTTTGAATAGTGGGGTGTAGTGCGAATTAATATGGACAGAAGAAAGTGGATAAACTGTCCAACAAAAATATCTCTCATGATTCTTTTTGTGTATTTTATAGATAGATTGTTTCTAGGGAAAAAAACACAATTATTGGTCAGAAACTTTTCAAAATGCTTAGTGCCTCTGGTTGGACTTTGTTTAGTAAGAATAGTGTACTGAGTATGTCCAAATACTTACCATGTACGTATTCCTTTAATTTTGGAAAACATGATTATAGTCAAACAGACGGACGGGCAATGGACACCTTAGCATTACACACGTTCTTCTGTTCTTTGACCAGCAGAGATTAAAACACAAACACACCCTCACACAAAGCAGCTTACCTCTTGGAATCTTATAACCAGTCTCTCCTGGTTTTCTTAGGTTTCTGAGAATGTGGTCAGCTTGAAGATTCGTAAACATACCCATAAAAAACAGACAGACCCCTAAAAATATATTAAATGCATATATGACCGTCTTAGAATGGTGACCAAAGACAAACTTTAAAATGCTTTATTTTCCCGAGACCTCAGCATTTCCAAATCCAAACTAACACACGAGGAAGAAAAATGTTTATAAGAATTAGATATATAATTAATAATAACCTAAATAAAATCTCAAATTCCACATCCATTTACTGCCAAAGTCTGCATATTTGATGATGTATCCGGCCTGGAGATAGCCATTACACACACAGAATACAAAAGCGAGAACGAAGGGAATGAGTGGGGTCGGCTTACCGCCCCTGATGAGGAGAGGGTAAATTATCGATCTAAAATGGAATTTTGTAGTGTAAACTCGATTCTGCTGAAATCATACAATATTAAGTGAAAATTGATTAGTTCAATAAAATAAAAAAGTGTGTATTCAGAGACAGCAATTTTATAACAGAGATTCGCAACACAATCATTAATATATTTATTTACGAAAGTATGTGACTGCCCCGGCATTATCCTAGAATTACTCTTTACTGGTTCTTTATTTCAATAATAAGATAATTCAGTAATCATTTTATTATTTATGGGTGTATGATTTGTAACATATTTATTGAGTATTAACACCAACCTTTTAATTTTTCAGCTTTCTCTTTTATTAAATAAAGAAACTTTTGAAAATATGACACTGAATAGTTCATTGATATAAATGTGCATGTTTTACTTCGTTATCATTGATAATTTATTAAACTGCTAGAGATTTACTGCCGAAAAAAAACCCAATAGGTACCGCAAGATTTGAAACAATGAATCTCTGTTATTTATTGTCATTATTATTGATAATGCATTCATAAAAGTAAACTGAAAAAAATCTCTGAAAGTACTTATTAATCTAGACCAGAGAGGCATAAGCCCTAAACCAGTTGCAGCATGAAAAGAAATCATTGAAAGATTGTCCGACCGGTGCCCCATACGTATAATACAAAATAAACAAAGCGTTCTCAGGTTCTGCAAGCTTCTTGTCTGTTTGTCACTTACCTTTGAAAATAATGAAACAAGAATAATCCCAGAAGAATTTTGTTGGGAGTATGTGCTAGTTTTGGACATTCTACATAGTATACCAGTAATATCGGCACAAGGAAGGCAGGTATCTCCTGAATAAACCAAGCCAAGTTAGCGTTCACTTCCACTCCCCAACCACCACGCGCATATCTACCGTACGGTGTACTTAGAAATTGTAAACTAATGACAACTACAATGCCAAAGAAAAACAAATTATAGGACAAAAAATGGAAAACCTCCAAATCTAGTCCTAAGACTTTATCAATCCAAAATTGCACATCCATTTCAATGTATGCGATAGGTCACCGATTGGATCTTCACATAAGTACGCGCGGATCCAAAAATTCACGTCATGTAGGATCAGTCATTCTCATTTCCTATGTGACACCTAATTGAAATATCACTGTCGCTTTGTTAAGATTGCTCTCTCTCGTGGAAAAGGATAAAATTAGACATGTTTTGCAATAAATGGATCAGGGTGTATAATTCCTTTAAAAGTTTAATTTTGTGTTGTAATTAAAGATCCATTAAATCATTTTGATGTGTTGTGCCTCCTTCGGTCTGTGGTATCGTTGAACATTTATTGAAACCAATTTTGTGCCCTTGAGGCATGGCCGTAGGAACCGGGGGGGGGGGGGGGGCGTGCCCACCTCCAATAATTTTGCCGAGATATATATATATATATATATATATATATATATATATATATATATATATATATATATATATATATATATATATATATATATATATATATATATATATATATATATATATAATCTTATGGAAAACATCGCTACTATAGATATGCTTGTGTCCCCTCAATAAAAACGTCTGATGACCTTTTTTTTAGTGCCCCCAACTGAAAATGTATGGCTGTGCACCGCCCCCCCCCCCCCCGACTGAAATTGCTTCCTACGGGCCTTTGAGGACATAGGAAGTTAAAGTAATATACAGAAGAAGAATTTCCAAATAAATAGCATCAATTCAACATAAATCAGCAGCTGGATGTAACTGATAAGTGGCAATAAAACATAATTACATGTATATGTTCTAATTATACATGTACATAAAAAAGAGGAATTTCTAACATGGATATACAGCATGTTCTTGGGAATTCATATTATTACAGTTTTACATTTATTTGATTTTGTTTTTAGGTAACACAGTTTTAAAAAATCTTTACTTCTGACATCCTCACAATGTCAAGGTTTTGTGATTTCGGAACTCCACACAAACCCTTGACATAAGTCGTTATTTAAAACTTGGGCTTGCGGTTACGCATGACGTAATGGGTAATTATAAACTAACCAATGAGAATTTATTCTTTAAATCCGTCATTATCAAATTGCTCAACTCCAGAGCACATCTTTTGTGATTGTAAGGAGGACGATCTTCAAAATCCCCGATGTTAATCATTTAAAGTAACTATTCACAAATCCTACAATATTGATACTTTCCATTTTAAAGACGAGTCATATTTGTTTCCAGAATTTAACTTACCGATAATAAAAGCTGTTTTGTGATTGGTTCCAGTCCTAGACCAGGAACAAATGAAGTAGTAGCTTTCTAGCCCAACTTTTCAATAGCGACTTGTGTCTAGGGTTTGTGTGGAGTTCTGAAATCACAAAACCTTGATATTGTGAGGATGTACTTCTGAATGAACGCCGAAATGCCTTCTCCAGAGGTCATGCTTATACTCCTCTAATACAATTTATTACACTATTGGTATAAGGTGGTATGCGTAATGTAATTCTATATTCATATTTCATTCGCATAATCGTAAGTTCATCTAAAAGCCATCTTTTGCTTTCAATAAAGAGTCGTGAAAAAGCAGAGAGAGAGAGAGAGAGAGAGAGAGAGAGCACAGTGATGGACACGACTGGCGGATCTAAGTTACTTACAATTTTTGATTTAATATTATTTAATAAAACGTCATTAGTGAAATATACAATCCAAACTTGGTTTAAGTGAAACAGAGCAAATAAGTTGTGATCACTGATTTAAAAGCACAATGGGCATACATGTATTCATTTTTTTGGCCATGCAACGATATATTAGTATTGATGGAAATTTCCAGAGATTCATGGCATTGAACCCGATATTGAAAAGAAAAATGAGTCGGCGGTGCGCATAAAATAACTACATGAAAATAATAATATCAAAAAATAATGTGAATGGGCCTGGAAATGACTGTATAACGTTTGATAAAGTATACATGTAAATAGTGAATATTATTATCAATAAAAGACTTGGTTAGTTAGTTTATTCGCTTCTTTTATCCTTAATGAATCTAAATGGTAACAGTTATCATGGAAGTGAAATATGTATACAAAAGGTATATAAAAAGGAAATATGTATACAAAAGGTATATAAAAGGGAAATATGTATACAAAAGGTATATAAAAAGGAAATATGTATACAAAATGTATATAAAAAGGAAATATAAAGCCTTCAAAAGGTATATAAAAAGCAAATATGTAGACAAAAGGTATATAAAAAGGGAAATTGGTTTCAAGTAAATTAATGAATATTTATTTCAGAAATATGCAGTAAAAAATGGTGGATATACATGTACCCCCATTCTAAGCTTCCCATTTCAATAAATTAGAAAAAAGGAAAAAACGGGGAGCCTATATCTACTCGAACTGCTCCCACAATAACTGGGGGATGTTGAACAAAGATTTCTTCTTGCTTTCAGTTCAGACTGTCAGCAATTTTCAGTAGAAACTACTGGGATATATTGGAATTGTTCCATCACCAGTGTGGAACAATTCTTTTAATTAACAACACTTTAGCTTCATCGGATTCCATAGAATATTTTCTTTATTTGATAAACTGTATAAAAAATATTTTTAGAAATTTCCCTAAAAAATAAATAGATAAATAAAAATAAAAAAGGATCTGTGTGTCCCTTTTAATAAAAGCCAGGACACCTAGAGAGTAAACTGAATCTAATCTTCCACAGAATGTCAGACACCTCGGCCCAACGACACCTCGGCCCATTGACACCTCGGCCCCGACGGGTCGGCCCAAGATTTGAGACACCTCGGCTCACGTAAAAGACACCTCGGCACAAACAAAAATGTATTATTTTAAACATATTTATTTGATATTTTCTTAAGTATTTTATTATTATAGGGACTATATGCGACGGATTATATTATTATATATATCCATGAAATAAAAAAGAAAATAATTGAATAATCTTCCGAGAGTAAATTGACGGTAATTTTAAAAAAAAGTGTCCATCACATAGTGCTAATCGTTAAACAAACAAAAATACGCAGCGCATCCTTCGAAGTCTCAAGCGCGTGTCATATGGGGTGGTGACAATGAGGAGTTAATTACGAGCAGGCTAAATTAATCCAATTGTTGGGTACAAACCACATATCTTCCTTGGTTTGTTTAGGGAAATATATCCATTATGCTCTAATATTACGCAAAGATCTGTCAGGTTAACGTAACTTCTATCTGTGTAAGGTTAAGTTTAGTTTATAAATAAAAAAAAAAAAAAAGAATCAATTAAGACATCTTATTGATCAGGACAGAATACCTCAGGACATATGCTACTGTGCGCTGGTTTATACATATAATTATTATATATAGTTAAGTTTACAATACGCCCCTACTACAAAGTGATTTTCAAGTAAAAGAATTCTAAATATTATGAATTGAATAAAGTTGCATTTTCATAAGCAACAAAATACATAAATAAATAGATCTCCTATCTCCCACTCAATAAATACAGCAGCTGACATCTACGCTGTCGTTCGTTCAAAAATTCTGAAATTATTTGCCCGTTTATCGTATACATACCGTCATTATAAACATACCTACATTTATATTACCATAGGGAATACAGATAATTATTCTAAAAAAAATTCCTTGGGCCGAGGTGTCTTTAGTATGGGCCGAGGTGTCAGTAATTTTGGGCCGACCTGTCAGGGCCGAGGTGTCAAGCGTGACGGGCCGAGGTGTCGTTGGGCCGAGGTGTCTGTCTACCCTTCCACACAATTCATGTCACATATTCTACGATCCTTGTGGTCCTCAGTATTTACACTTCTGCTTTCAATCCTCAGATTATGAGTACTTATTCAAAATTTTACATTTACATGTACATAACATGTTTGTTGTTACTTTGTTCAAATTTTGGAAAGAGAAAATAAATATCTTTCAAATTTATTTTTTTTTTAATAAAATGTAGAAATATGTAGTAAGTTTATAAAAGTTAAACCCTCATCTCTTCCGAAAAAAATCTAACTTTACTACAAGGCTAAATTAATTTATTACCATGCTCCCTCTATGAATAATAACATTTGATTACTTTTTTTGTGTGGCTAGTCAAGGTTTTTTTTTTCCGGCAATGCTTCCCCAATCTAACTTGAAAAAAATTACTTCCTACGACAATTTGACTATCGCTGAAAAAAAAAATAGAATCGGGATCGGCATTTTAACTGAGACGCCACCTATCTTATTATAGATTTACGTCGAAGTTGCTGAAGAAGGTATTCATCATGGAAAAGGAAGAGAATTCTACCACTTTTAGAGGAAATCCAACAGGAACAGGTGTCAAAGGATCAGCATTTACTCCGGAAAAGGCAAATAAAAGTAAAATGGCATCAAAAACGAACAAGAAGTGGGTACGCCTTGCCACAGTGTTGGCCTACGTTCTTGCAGTTTCACTAGCCGCCATTGTGTTGGCTATATACTACAGCTTCTTATGGGCACCAGAGCTTAAGACTTCTACTACAGTTGCCCCAATGCCTGGAACTGAAAACATGACTTCCACTGCGGGAGGCGGCAGGTCAACAGTAGGCAGTACAACGACAGCATGAACAGCTTGAGTTAAGGAGGGAAGATGACAGGTATGGTGGGCTATTAGGATAATCAGATTTTTACTTTAACTCAAGCTTAAGAGGGGCTAGAGTTATGCAAAATGATGCTAGGTAATAGTATTTACATGATTAAGAAAACAAAAGGCTTTATTTATTTTGTAAAATTATAACATATTATGAAACAAAATTTGAGCCATTTGTATATACTGAATTCTCATTGTATCGTGGGCTCCATTTGTATTGGTATCGCTGTATTTTCCAAAAATTAAAAATCCAGGGTTATATATAAAGCTGGCAAACAAACTTTCATCTAAACTATCTTAATTTGTAGTCGATTCATAAGAACATTGTGATTATAAAACACAATAAATGAAATTTTAAAGCATTCAAATCTCCATTACAACATTTAAAATAAGACATTTGCAACAATATATATTTGTTGGTTTAGAAATAAGGTGCCTTATCAGAAGAATATAAGCGATATTTTATACCGGTTTTTGTACCGTTTTTTGATAGGCAGTGTACAGGTTTTTCACCCAAATCCCTTTTTTTTTAATGGCTCCTGTACAGTTTTGTGGTCTTTGACTTATCACATGTATGATGAAGGGCCACATCATCTTTCAAGGGGAGATAATTAGGAATTAGTGAAAATTTGGTGGCATCTTTTAAAAATATTCATCTCAAGAACCATTGGACCAAAACAGTTGAAACTTAAGTGAATTTTTAAATAGTGTAGATTCAAGTTTGTTCAAATCATGACCCTAGGAGGGTAAGGTGGCATAGTGTAGATTCAAGTTCATTCTGATCAATTCATGACCCTCTGGGGGTAGGGTGGAGCCACAATAGGGGATCAAAGTTTTACATTGAGATTAATCTTTAAAACTCTTCTTAAGAAGAGCAAAGCCATGGTTAGTCATATTGATATGGAGATATCTTCAGGTAGTGTAGATTCAAGTATTTCAAATCATGTCCCTGGGGATGTAGGGTGGGACTACAATGAGGGATCAAATTTTTTTATATCGAATATATAGGGAAAATATTAGGACTGCCACGATTAACCGAAAAATCGTTTAACTGCGAATCAAAATCTTTCGGTTCGATTCGGTACGTTTTTCCCAGATTTCGATTTGATTCAGGTTTGATTTTTTTCAAACTAACATCCGCTGTTGTTAGGTGCATTCTGATTGGTTAATCGGAAGAAATGATGGCAAATCATGTTGATGTAAACAAAGACACGAAAATGGCCGCAAAGAAGTCGGTGGGGGACTACTAGATAGAATGTTCCATCATTAAAATGATAAATGTCATATGGACATGGTTGTCCCGAGACACAGATTATTCTAACTAGGGGACTACTCCCATTTTCTACAGAAAGATGGCACAGAAGATTAGTGCATTTAGGCCACACTTATCAGCCACGCAATTCTGAATTTAGAATTAGAGGACCTGACACCGCGCTGCGAAATTTCTTTTTAATATTGACATCGTTTTGAATGTGAAATTAATCATTGACTGTATTGTTACGACAGCAATGTGTTTCGGCAGTTTGATATCGTATCGGGGATCCAACCGTAATTTCTATTGTGGCAAAATAGCTTTTGTAAGCAAATCACCAATACTTTTATGTTTAGCATATGCAATCATGGAAGTTTTGTTTGAAAGATTTGTATGCATGTTTTCTCTTTTAAAACTAATGACCAGTATTTTAATAATTTGAATTTCAGACATTTGATTCTTGGTTCATACTTTGTAATTAGAACATTAGTTATTTCCTTTGTTTTCTTGGCTTTACATTCCATATTATCTTAATAAGTCTAATAAAAGTGTGTTTCATTATTTATTTTGAATTATCAAACATTACAAATTTTATACAAAAATAAAAAAGGTTCTATTTCTTATAATCAAATAGAAATTATTCGAAAATTGAGGTTTTTGTTTGAACCGAATCGATTCGAAAATTTTCTGATTCGTGGCAGCCCTAGAAAATATCTTTAAAAATCTTCCCCTCAAGAAGAACAATGCTGTGATACTGGTATGGAAGCATCCTCATTTAGTGTAGATAAGTTTGTTCAAATTATGACCCTCTGAAGGGGGGATGGTTCCACATTTAGGGATCAAAGATTTTACATGGGAATATATAGGAAAAAGTCTTTGAAATCTTCTTCTCAAGGAGAGCAAAGCCATGATTAATCATAATTATATTGATATGGAAGTACATGGTATCTTCAGGTAGTGTAGATTCAAGTTTGTTCTAATCGTGACCCCCAACATTCAAAATCTTCTTCCCAAGAAAGCAAAGTCATGATTAGTCATATGAATATGGAAGCATCCTCAGGTAGTGTAGATAAGTTTGTTCAAATTATGACCCTCTGAAGGGGGGATGGTTCCACATTTAGGGATCAAAGATTTTACATGGGAATATATAGGAAAAAGTCTTTGAAATCTTCTTCTCAAGGAGAGCAAAGCCATGATTAATCATAATTATATTGATATGGAAGTACATGGTATCTTCAGGTAGTGTAGATTCAAGTTTGTTCTAATCGTGACCCCCAACATTCAAAATCTTCTTCCCAAGAAAGCAAAGTCATGATTAGTCATATGAATATGGAAGCATCCTCAGGTAGTGTAGATTCAAGTTTGTTCAAATCATGACACCTGGTGGTAGGTTGGGATCAAAGTTTTACATAGGAATACATGTATATAATAGAAAAAAATTGCTGCTAAACAAGAAGGTTATATTGACTCAGGTGTGTATTGTGGCCCAATGGCCTTTTGTTTTGCCTTTGGCTCAGTTTTAAAGAAAACTATTCAAGAAATTTTTATGTAAGCTTATGCACTGATATGTAATTTGATGAGAATTTATCAACTGTGTCCAAATTTTTTAGCATAACCTTCCAACCGACCTTTGATTTTACTATTTATTATGCATAAAACTAACTTTTAAAGAAACTATTCAAGATATTTTCATCCAACTTCATACACTAATACAAATTTTCATGTTGCATAACTAATGGACCTTGGGTAAGGCATTCATGTCCCATGGACATATTTTCTTGTTTTTCTTTATATATATTAAAGTTATTATATCATTTTTCTAGGTAGAGAGACAGAGATGAGGAACTGCATGGAACAGTGATATTACTTCATAGCCAACTTTGCTTATTGCAGTTTTCATATGATAAAGATCCTAGTCAGCATTGTTTCAGTCTGTTGTTATGTGTGTAAATTGTGTTACCTGTTACCTGTTACTGCATTTGCCGTTCCACATATTCACACAAATTTTCATCCAGATGTTGGCCATTTTTCATCTCTGTCCCATTGTTGACTTATTTAAAGTGCATTACCTATAGTGTTGTAGATGAAAACAAAATACATGAACAGTGGAATGAATGTTTAAGGTATACACCTGACAAAAAATGTTAATTTGTTTGAGATTGGTCTTGAGGCCAAACTTAAATAATTCTGGTCAACAACCAATGCAAGCAATAGACATCATTTTTAAGGGCATTCCAGCTCTGCTCTTTGTTGAAAATCACGAGTGAGTTAAGGCTAGGCTGTCCACATTTTGTGAACTTTAATCTTTTGGAACCAAAGTTGTACATGTTGTACACATAATGGGTACTTTTTATTGCATTTATGTTTAAAATGTTGAAACATATACACAAAAATGACAAAATTCTCTTTCAGAACACAAAATATTGCTAGTAAATACTGTATATCTTGTATTGTTATTTATTACAGTTGAACTTCGGTATCTCAAACACTGATATCTTGAATACCATGTATATGTCGAAGTGATTTGAAAGTCCCAATTACTTATTCTTTAAGTACTTTACCCTCGATATCTTGAATCCTCAGATATATCGAAGTTTTTTATTGGTCCCATCGAGTTTTGAGATAACAAGGTTTGACTGTAAATAATTTTTAATTGAATTTATGTAAGTTTCATTTTGCAAAGACAACAGAACAATTTTGGTAACCACAATTTTTTACCATTTTTAAGGTAATCTAGTCCTGTGATTGTGCAATAGGACCCCTGTATTTACTTTTTGTTTTTCTCATTTCTTTTAAAATTATATATTATGAATAAATATGTGAGACTACCAGTATTTAATTTTTTTTCATGTTTATTATTTTGTATTTCTTTTACCTAGTCTTGTTTTTGTTTTGAGCAGTTTATTTCTTTGTTGTTTTACACCTTTTTGGTAGTCTTGTTTTTTTTCTATTAGAGTATATTTATATTAAAGTTTAGATATATATGGTACACCATTTCTGTGTTCCTGTCTTATTTAGTATTCTTTATCATTGATGCATATACTGATACTGTGGAATCATCATTATTTTGTGCGGGACCAATGTTCAATGATTTTTGTGGATCATCATTACCCATGAATTGACATTCCCAAGGACAATAACTCTCAAAGTATCAGTTCAGTTCTGTGAATCTTCTTATACATAAATTCCCACAAAAATCAGCAGAAATTGTAAATGCCCATGAGCATTTATCCCCCATGAATTAAAACAATTCCACAGTATTTTTTTTGCACAATATTTATCTTTATTTATTGCAGTCCAGTATAATTGTGTTTGTAAGCTGCATCTCCTACCAGTTAAAGCTTGTTTCAAATTCTACTCCCTCTTTAGCTCACCTGAGCTGAAAGCTCAAGTGAGTTTTTCTGATCACACATCCAGCATCCATCTGTCAGTCTATTTGTTTGTCCATCTGTCTGTAAACTTTTTACATTTTCAACTTCTTCTCCAGAACCACTAAACCAATTTTATCCTAAGTTAGCAGAAAAAAAAACCCATCCTTGGAAAAGGGGATTTTAAATTGCCCAAATGAAGGGCCAAGCTTGCTTCCAAGTGGAGATAATCAAGAAAAGACAAACATTAGGTAAAATCTTTAAAAATCTTTTTCTCAAAAACAGCAAGGCCACAATTAGTCATATTTGTATAGAAGCATTGGTAGGTAGTGTAGATTTTAATTTTTTTTTAAATGGTTGTAGGGTGGGGCCACAATATGTGTTCAAAGTTTTACATAGGAATGATCAGCAGGGCCATAGCAACTCAGGTGAGTGTTGTGGCCTATGGTCTTCTTGTTTTGTTCATTTGATCTGAATGAAACGTGCCAGAGAGCAAGACAATAGATAAATACAAGTTTGTTTTTTTTAAACATTAAAATGTTTTAATTTTCTTAGCATATTATGGACTGATACTTAAATTGATTTGATATGCCACAGCTACAGCTTTTACGAAATGTAGAATCAGTTCTTTAATTTTTCTAACCTTTCTCCGATTTTTTTATTTCAATAAAACCTGTTATGTCATGAATGTGAATTACATATAAAATAAAGTCCTGCGCACTAATTTTTCATTGGTTTTTCGCTAGTTACAAAACATACATTTATCCCCCTAGATCTCAATATTCCAGACTCTCCGTAGTTTTTCTTTGATTAGAGTTAGTAGTTTTGTTGACCACTTAAAAATATATGTTCATGATTCTGGGCATCATTTTTTTTTTTCAGGTTATGTTGAACGTTGTCACTTTTTACTGAAAATAAATATAGGAAAAAAACATTACTTTGCTATTTATTTCAACATAAAATTTCTCTACTCAGTTGAAAATACGTTGGTATGCACTATAGGTGATATTTATTTATTTTTTTTTTTAGGTCACCTGAGTCACTCACTTTTTCTATTGCTATCTCTTTTCGTCCGGCATCGTCCGGCGTTCGTCGGTCGTAAACTTTTGAACATTTGCAGCTTCTTCTCTGGAACCAGCAAACCAATTTCAACCAATTTTTGCATATAGCATCTATGGGTGAAGGGGAACAAAAATCTTGAAATTCGTTGCCCCCTGCCCCCCTGGGACCTGAGGGGTGGGGCCAAAACCATCAAAGTTAATGCAATCTTTAAAAATATTCTTCTTTACTCCTGGACATCAAGCAGTCAAACTGTAGGCATGATTGTAATAAGCATTGAGCCCTCTACCAAAATTGTGAAATTCATGGCCCCAGGGTCAGGGGTTCTGGTGCTAGGGTGGGGCTACATAGATCAAATAGTGAAAGTGCATTATTTCTTTGAAAATCTTCTTCTCTACTCCTGGGTATTATTTAAACAAATTAAATACATAGTTATGATAAGTAAGGGTGACTCTACCAAAATTGTGAAATTCATGGCCCCAGGGTCAGGGGTTCTGGTGCTATGATGGGGCTATATAGATCATATAGTGAAAGTGCATTATTTCTTTTAAAATCTTCTTCACTACTCCTGGGTATTATTTAAACAAATTAAATACATAGTTATGATAAGCAAGGGTGACTCTACCAAAATTGTGAAATTCATGGCCCCAGGGTCAGGGGTTCTGGTGCTAGGGCGGGGCTATATAGATCATATAGTGAAAGTGCATTATTTCTTTGAAAATCTTTTTCTCTACTCCTGGGTATTACTTAAACAAATTAAGTACATAGTTATGATAAGCAAGGATGACTCTACCAATATTGTGAAATTCATAGCCCCAGGTTCAGGGGTTCTGGCTCTAGGGCTGGGCTATATAGATCATATAGTGAAAGTGCATTATTTCTTTGAAAATCTTCTTCTCTTCTCCTGTGTATTATTTAAACAAATTGAATACATAGTTATGATAAGCAAGGATGACTCTACCAAAATTTTGAAATTCATAGCCCCAGGTTCAGGGGTTCTGGCTCTAGGGCTGGGCTATATAGATCATATAGTGAAAGTGCATTATTTCTTTGAAAATCTTCTTCTCTACTCCTGGGTATTTTTGAAAGAAATTGAATACATAGTTACGATAAGCAAGGGTGACTCTACCAAAATTGTGAAATTCATAGCCCCAGGTTCAGGGGTTCTGGCTCTAGGACTGGGCTATATAGATCATATAGTGAAAGTGCATTATTTCTTTGAAAATCTTTTTCTCTACTCCTGCGTATTATTTAAACAAATTAAATACAAAGTTATGTTAGCAAGAGTGACTCTACCAAAATTGTGAAATTCATGGCCCCAGGGTCGGGGTTCTGGTGCTGGGGGGGGGGGATTATATAGATCATATAGTGAAAGTGCATTATTTCTTTGAAAATTTTCTTCTCTTCTCCTGGATATTATTTAAACAAATAAATGGTTATGATAAGCAAGGATGCCTCTTCCAAAATTGTGAATTTCATGACCCCTGGATCAGAGGTTCTGATGTTAGGGTGGGGCACTATTTATTATATATAGTGAAAATGCATTAATGCTTTAAAAATCTTCTCTGCACCTGGGCATATCAGGGACCATTTGGTCAAGTGTTCGGGTCCAGGCCAGGGTTCTATTGATTTGTATTCTACCGAGAGGAGTTATTCCCCTTTGCCATTTACTTGTGATAATTAATCACTGTAAATAATGTACATGAAAGGATAAGAGAATTATGCAAGAATTTATATTGTATAATACAAAAAGTACTTCCATAGTTTTAATGATCAGGTAGACTTGTAAGTAATAGATAAATAAAAATGAGACAAAAATAACTTGTCTTATTAAATGTTCATCAAGACCAAGAGGCCTATGTAAGAGATTTCAACAAGGAATAAAAGAGTACAGAAGTACTGATAGTTTGTTTATATACTGTCTGGTGAGAATGATAAATGGGGAACAGATTAGAACCCAATTTATGAACTGTTAATGAATACTAGACTAGTTTGTTGATCCTGATCACCCTATTTTTCTTGCTTTTGGGCAACAAAGCTTCACCTTTCAGTTCATTTTATACTCTATTGATCCTCTAAATTGTTGTATTATACTCAGGTGACCGTCAAGGCCCTTGGGCCTCTTGTTAATGGATGGGGCAGTATTATCTATTTCTATATTTAGAAGGTACACGTGTAAAATTCCTTTTTTAGAACTTTTTATTTTTGGAAGGATTTCAAAGAAAAACTGGAAACTATCAGTTCACAAGCATCAACAGTTTGATGTAGCTCACCGTCGGATACCCACGGGTGATCTCGTCTTTAACTTATCACTATGAGTAAAAGACGAGATCACTCGTCACTCGTGGGTATCCGACGATGGATGTAGCTCTACATTGGTTAAGTTCTGTTTGTATGGCCTCTTTAAGGTATTGTAAAGATGGGATTATTTGCATTGGAGAAACTGCGCTGACTTATTAAAGTTGTTGCAAAATTTATCTTCACACGAATATATAGCTTCGAAAAGAGGTGTGGTAATACACTATATATGAAAAACATTTTATGAACTTTATTTACAGCACCCCCTCCACCTTCCTAGCAAACGCTTTGTCGCTTAGAAATCGCTAAATTGCCCCGCCCCCATTTTCCACAAAAAATATCTACGTTTACAGTAATATATTCGAACTTTCCACACATTATCACATAATTTGAAATGAGATGTTTCATATATATTTCCCATGCCAAGAAATTTAACGCATTTTTTTTCAGTCATGATTTAGGGTGAACTCAGTAAAAGTGTAAAAATGTAAATTAACTGTAAACACTAATCAATTTTATTCCTCAAAGAATTGCGTGAGGCTATTAATGTCTGTAGCTTTGAGGAATGGATCCCAAATTTTACAGGCTTTAAAAACTAGGAAGCAAAGAGTCATAGAACGAATAGTCGCTTTTTCTTTAAAAGGGGGGGGGGGAGCTAGATTCTATATCGTGCGTTCAAAGTAAAAATAAATTTAAAAGAATTATTCAATAAAATAAAATTTAAAGACATGTTGGAAACAGCGACACTGAACTTTTTTTCTGGTATTAGAAAACAAAAGGAGGGTTTATGGCAAGGACGGATGTAGAGGTGGTGGTGGGGGTATGTATCCCCCTAGAATTTTCAGAGTTACTATATTTCTACGTAAAAGTAACGATAGAAAGACATTGAATCCCTCAGGAAACACAGGAGCATTTTAAAACGGCAAGAAAAAAAATGTATCTGAATAAATGACTTAAGAAAGCCCCCCCCCCTTTTGAAAAGTAGATCAAATTTTAAGGTCATGGGGTCAAAAAATCATAGTATATTTGGATAGGTCTTGTCACAGGTAATGTACATGTGTAAGATGAAAGCTATATCTCTCCTCATTCAAAATGACCAATTCAAAGTAATGTTTAAATTTTTGAAAAGTAGGTCAAATTTCAATGTGAAGGGGTAAAAATCATAGTATATTTGGAAAGGTCACAGTTAATGTACACCTGAAATATCAAAGCCCTATCTTTGTGAGAGACGAATGGATTTAATGCCCCTCGATTTCGCGAAAGCGGGCACAAGCTATAATTCAAAGAATTGTGGTCCCCCGCTTTTGGTGTCTTAGTGGTTGTGTTGCAATTATTTATGGCATACTGGAACTGTCTTGTTTGTGTGTCCTTGAAACTTGTAGGTTAAGGTCATTAAGTCAAAAATGATATACCTTTCTGAAAGGTCTTGACATACGTAATGTTAAAATTGTTTAAAAGAAGTAGGTCAGACTTCAAGGTCACGGGATCAAAAATCATAGTATATTTGGAAAGCTAATGTACATGTGAAATATGAAAGCCCTATCTTTTCTCATTCTAAAGTAATTTATCAAGATTTTTTTTATAGGAGTGTCCTTTTATTGATTGTAAAGGGTGGGCGAAGGCACAGTATATTAATGAGGATCAGGATTGTGTGCAAAATTATGCTTTCTGATTACTGACATTCATAATTCATAATTGAATAATTAACAGAAACTGTATATCGTGTAACCTATATACATATACTTATTTGCATGGATTTCCACTGTTTCTTTTCGTGCTTAAAAAAGACCTTCATGTATATAATCAATTCGAGTTCAAAATATCGATCGAGAATGCCGATAGTTAGATGGGATAAAAAATAATTAATGTGTACACAGAATTACAACAGCTGATCATTGCTATTAGTAAGCATGTGGTGAAATAACATCTGCTCCACAAATCGTTACACAAACTGAAGTATCTATTAATATTCACCAATTTTGTGCATTACTGAATAGGAAAAACTCGCTATGAGCATGATCAGTAAAAACAGTTTACTGTGTTTTCTCTCCTATCCTCAATAGAACACTGAGGGGAAAGTAATCAACAAATCCCTTTATTACAGTTCAAAGTAAATGGATATCAGGAACGTTTTTCCATCCTTGCACTGTCGTAAAACTCGAAAAGAAACAGACAATATGTCGTCGGTTGAATCACACAAGTGTGGGAATCATTCCGGAAAGTTTGAGGTGCGATGCCGTAACTGTTGGGGACGTGTGGCTACAGTGATTCTCTACGTCATCTGTATCTCCATGTCCGCCATTATCCTGGGATGTTACTACTCCTTTGCTTGGGAACCAACACCCAAAATTGTTAAGTTCAACGATGGCGAGACCATCTCAGAATCTACTGGCTTCGTCCGCAGCGTGCGAAGAGGATAGATTAGAAGGTAAAGAGCGATATATAATTTTTGCATTCCGTGAACAACAATATATTGTTGTGCACGTGATTGCAAAAATTAATAAGCATACATGTACATACTAGTATAAAGAAATACTCCTGGAGTCAATGCTTTGGGAAGAGAATTTTCTATGAATCATACCGACCTTCATTCCCTGGCCGGAAACTATCCCATGTACACGTGCATCATACATTTATATTTAACATATGTACATGTATACTAGTAGCGGATTTTTCTTTAATTATTTTACAATTTTTGAACAGAAAATTCAAGCAATTAACAAGCTCAAAACTAAAATTTGTCTCAGGTAAATACTTCCTTAAATCAAGTTGCACAAAATATTAAAATATGATTCATTCATTTTAGTCGTAATCATCGATTGTTCTAATTTTCTTTCAGGTAGAAGACATTATGCTTTAAAATAGAAGTCATTAAAGTTTGATTGGTATAACCACCGATTACAGAAATGTTTACATTCAACAGTTTTCCTTACATGTATAAAGCACAATAAAAACTTTTCATCTTCAACATCATCGAACAGCCCAGAACCGTTATAACAAGTCGACATGGACACCTGTGTCATGTATTACCAGTGGGCACCATATATAAGAAACATCCTAAAACATGTGAAAGTATTCATGATTAACTTGTTTGCTAATTGGTTAACGGCAAGGTGTTCCGACTGATTATGATAATGCCCATTATATGCCTTTAGTAAAAAAAAATGTCAATTTTTTTCTTAGAAAAAACTTGATTTACTATTTTGTGCAAAAAGGGATATTATAAACAAAGATTGATGTAATCATGTAACGATTTATATCTTTGTGTATTCAGAATATGGAAGTCGTCCATGAAAATCTAGTGACTGTAAGTATGGCTCTAAAAACTCACAAGACTCGCATAAGGTATATAAGGGTGCGCAGCTAAGATGCAGGTTTACCGAAATAATTCAAGCTCAAAAGTCCATTTAAACAATAAATATTTGAGCAGAGCAAACAAGGACCTCTAAAATCATCAGAGATAGGAGCAGGTACCATGGAGGAGTAAGTATCCCCTGCCAACCGGTCGCACCCGCCGCGTGCTCCTTGTCATGATTGCGTAAACGAAAAAAAATCTGTTAATACTTCATTATGAAAATAACGGCCTAACGATTTTACGAAGGAAACATCAATAAAATTCGATTTAATAATAGGTCATTGTACCGACCATAACGGGGCACAATTACATATGTAGTACAGATGGTAATTCCAAGAGATTGTTGGAAGACCTGGTCTCTTAAAAACTACATACTAAGTAATAAATATTGTTGATCAAAAACTTGGAGCATCTTCGGATTACTTGTGTGTAGAATCAGAGTGGATTTTTTCTTCTTTTTGGGGGGGGGGGGTGATGTTAACAATATACGTTTGTATATGACCAATGACAACCAAAGGCACCTGACGAATGGATGGTGCACCCCCCCCAACCTTCTGAGACTTTTTATTAGACACGATAATTTATCCAAAATACATGAATTCCTAGTCTAGCATACCTATATTTCGATTTCTGATATAATTTTCCGTTTTTGTTAAGATTCAGAGATTACCCCTCAATGGGTATCCTAGAGTACCCATAAATCGTCCCACTAAGACAATACGCGTTATAGCAAGGGGCAGTACGGGCGATTTCATAAACTTTTTTTTCTATCAACATTACCATCTACGTACTCATCATGTAGTATTTTGCAAATACTGCTTGCAGTATACCTTTTCTTGTCGTAGGCTGAGGCTAGAGTCTGTCCGGTGACATTAGTGAATCCCCGCTTTTTTTTTGTAAATACCCGGTATTATGCCCACCATCAAGACTGATTTTCCTCTGAGGGAGGGATCATTTCGGTATATATTTGCAGGTCGATCATTCTTAACCATCATTTTAAGAGAAAAATTAATTTACCAAGCCCAAGATCCTGGAATCAACCAGGAACGGGTCCCTCAACACGTCACAATAAGCGTTTGTTTTATAGACCATTCTCTCATTTCTAAGGGTTTCGTCCATTCGAAAATTTTTTAAATAAAAAGAAATTCAGACTTAATATTATGGATCTTGTGAACCCCAAACTGAAAATCCTCAGACTGTAGAAAAAAACAAACAAATAATCTTACAGTGGCTCTGTTAAAGAATAAACATGTACCGACAAAAATCACCTCACGATCATCAAACATTTTTGTATATCCCCGTAATCGAAGATTCGGGGGCATATAGGTTTTCCCCTGTCCGTCCGTCTATCTGTCTGTTTGTCCACAAAAACTTTAACCTCGGCCATAACTTTTGATTGGTTGGAGCTTTGGCTTTCATATTTCACATGTGTGTTCCTTGTGACAAGTCCTTTCTTTAGGCACCAATATATCTGACCTCTTGACCTTGGATTTTGACCCACTTTTGCAAAATTTTATATTACTTTAACATTGGCCATAACTTTTAAATAGTTGGTGCTAGGGCTTTCATACTTCACATGTGCTTTCCTTGTGACAAGACCTTTCCTCGGGTACAAATATATTTGACCTCTTGACCTTGGAGTTTGACCCACTTTACAAAAACTTTAACCTTGGTCATAACTTTTGAACGATTGTTATTAGGGCTTTCATATTTCACATGTGTATTCATTGTGAGAAGATCTTCCCTAGCGTACCAACAATTTTGACATTGGCCTTTGAGTTTGACCCACTTTTGAAAAACTTTAACTTTAGCCATAACTTTTGAACGGTTGATACTAGGGCTTTCATATTTTACAAGTTTATTCCTTGTGACAAACCTTACCCTGGGTACCAACAATTATGACCTTTTCAGCCTTGAGTTTGACCTACTTTTGAAAATCTTTAATCTTGGCAAGAACTTTTGAACAGTTGGTTTTAGGGCTTTCATATTTCACTTGTGCCTTCCTAGTGACAAGACCTTCCATTGGGTACCAACAATGTTGATTTGATTAAATTGACCTTGGAAGTTTGACTTGCATTTGAGAAACTTTAACCTTCGCCATGAGCTGCCAAAAGGGTTCATGAGTGTTTTACAAACACATCTTGTTCTTTTTATATGATATATAGAGTTGTCTGTCAAAAAGTCGTGTTCATTCGGGCCAAAACTCCCAGACCCTTGTTGGAATGTATTTAAACTTAGTTAAAGGAGCATGGACACAAAGATTGCATTGCTGTTTTGTGTACAACATTAAATTTTCTATTTCTATTTTTAACAAGAGGCCCAAGGGCCACATCGCTCCCCTGAGCACTGTGGCTAGGAAAAAAGCAAAGATCAGTCCAGTATTGAAAAGCTTTAATGCATAAGTGGTCCCGACCTACCCCTAAAAGGGACGGGGGTATGATTTGAACAAAATTGAATCTACACTAACTAAAGAAGCTTACGTATTTCTTTGTCTGTGACTTTTTTCCTACAAGTTTGAATTTTCATTATCATGGTCCCACCCTACCCCCGGGGATCACGATTTGAACAAATCTGAATCCACACTATCTGAGGATGCTTCCATATAATTATGACCAATCATAGCTTTGCTGTTCTTGAGTAGAAGATTTTTTTTAAATTGCCTAAGTATTCCTATGCATAACTTTAATCATCAATTGTGGCCCCACCCTATCCTCAGGGACTCATGATTTTTTTCAAACATGAATCTACGCTACCTTAGGATACATCCGAATAATTAATAACCAAACATAGCTTTGCTGTTCTTGAGAAGATTTTTTTTCTATATATTCCTATGTAAAATTTTGATTGTCCATTGTGGCCCCACCCTACCCTCGAGGGTTATGATTTGAAAAAACTTGAATCTACACCACCTGAGGATGCTTCCATATAAATATGACCAATCGTGGTTTTGCTGTTCTTGAGAAGAAGATATTTTTAAAAAAATTCTATAAACTCCTATGAAAAACTTTGAATGTCCATTGTGGCCCCACCCTACTCCAGGGGGGTCATGATTTGAACAAATTTGAATCTACACCACTTGAGGATGTTTCCATATAAATATGACCAATCATGGCTTTGCTGTTCTTGAGAAGAAGATTTTTAAATTTTTTCCCTATGTATTCCTCTGTAAAACTTTGATCGTCCATTGTGGCCCCATCCTACCCCCGGGGGTCATGATTTGAATAAACTTGAATCTACACTACCTGAGAATGATTCCACATGAGGTTCATCTTTCCTGACCCAGTGGCTCTTGAGAAGAAGATTTTTAAAAGATGCCATTAATTTTTCACTAACTTGTAATTATCTCCCCTTAGTCTGGTTCCCGCCCCCGCCACTCCGTTTTCACTTCGTTTTTGGGTCAGGTAAAAGCCGACGCCATTTAAAAATGGCGACCTCCATGACGTGAAAAAGGTACGTTTTTCATGGTCAACAAATATGTTCAAAATATGGTCAATCAAACTAAAAGAAATAGAAACTGAGTGGTGCTGTAAGTTTAGTAGGATGCTTTGATGAAGTTGCTGAGATTTTGTGGGCTGACAAAGCTCTTATCTATGTTTTTGCCGACTTTTTCCGGTTTGTTTACATAACCCTCAGTTAGAAACTTAGAGGTGACAAATGATTTCAAATCACAAACACAATCAGAAAAAAAGTGGAAGGATCTCAACTATTAGGGATTTGTCATATTTTGTAGGAAGGGTTGTCACCATGTCTTTGGTTTTATACAGTCTTGGGTTTCAGAAAAAAAATCTTGATCAATAAATTAATTAATTAGTAGGAAAAGCACAACTGCGTGAAAAAAGCAGGAAAAACATACATCTTGGTCCATCGATGAAAGTATCATACCATCTCATGAAGGACATAAAGCTGATCCACATTTATTTGAAATGAATCAGTCAATACAGCCCTTTTTTATCACATGAGATGGCTGACTGTAAACATAAATCAGAAATGGTATTATCCATTACACATACATGTACTATGTGACATAGCTTACATGTACAAGACCTCGCTTCTTAAACACATTGGAATTAAATAGAAATATTATTAGTAAAATATTTTATGGATTAACTGATGAAAAAATATAAGCTGTAACCAAGCTCAACGACAAAATAACGCAGTGAACATTGTGAAATACTAAATGTGTAATACTAAAATACGCCTGCCGACGCCTGCCAGGGGAAAATACGCCTGCCGAGAAAATCTATACGCCTGCCGTGTTATTTATCGAAATAATTTGCATTTTGTTAGATATATTACTTTTACAGACCATGTAGTTGATGATTTACCAAACCAAAATAATTTAAAAAGCACAGTTTGGAGTTTTAATTCGTTTTAAAGTTTGCATACTTCGAAGGGCACGCCTGCCGAGAAAATCTAAACGCCCGCGGTGTTTTCTCTATAATTTCTTATTATACAATGTTTGATATATTACTTTTATAAAGTATTTGGTTAACATTTGACCAAACATTAATTCAAAAAAATAATTTTATTTATATTTGATTCAATAAGCGTTTGATACGAAAGTTTGCAATATTAAAGGAGATAACTCTTGCTTGACAATAGGAACTGCTGTGTATAGACAACGTGCCTCGTGTTTTTCTTTCTTTCTTTCCACTTTTTAATGAAAACCTAAGGTATTTGATTTTATATTCGTTTACAAAATTATGAAGGCTCAAGAGCACATGTACACATGTCAGTAAAAACTAAGTATGCGTTTTACGGGTAGTCGTTTTGAATCAGAATCTGAAATATTCAATGTTGTCCTTTTTTAGCATCAATGTATAATTATTATTTCAGGTTATATGCAACAAAGTTATATTTAAATAAATACAAAGTGTTACAGGTAAGAGAAAGGT